GATGTGTGTTCTGTAGCAGAAGCCCTGAAGATCAGGAGTTTTCTGCTGCATCCTGCTTCCTGTTCTTCAGGAAGAATGTCTGGCAGTTTAGAATTTGCACTTTTGACTAGGATGTTCTCACCTATTGTTCTGTTTAATTGTCCAACAGACTACTAAAATAAAAAGAACAAGCGAGACTGTTCCTACTCAGTCTTGTTGTATTTGATGGGATCTTGTAGATTGTAAATTAGTGCTAATCTGTAGTGGTCTGTAGATTTTGGTGGGGCCCAAAGTGATTAAATGTTTTGGAACTTCTGTTCTAACTGACTTCCTGATTCTTGCATGGGCAATCTTTGGTGCCTCCTTGTTTGGAAGTCTGCTATGTGAGAAAAATTATGCTTTTAGAAATGAATAAAAGAATTACCTAGCAGTGTATAGTATCTATTTAACCTCACTTTTGGGGGGTTGAAAAAGGCACCATTACCAATTTCTGATGTTGACTTTCCTGTCAAAAAAGTTGCTATTGGTGTAATAGCATGCTGGAAGGAATTTGGAGATGGAGTAGTGGTTATTGAAACTGTGGTGGAAGTCCTTCTGGGAGCTCAAGTAGTCACTCTGGAAGTTAAGGACAAGCTTACATTTTAAAATCTGGTTTCTTGTATCACTGTAAAATTTATTTTGGAATTGTTTTTGGAGTCAACAGACTCAAAACACTTGAAATAGTACCCTAACTACTGAAGCCTATACCATATAAAACACTCGGTCAAATGTTTAACTTAGATACTCAGGCCTTCTGAAACAGAAATTATTGAATCTGTATCTGAAAGATGTAGGCATGTGTGTGCAGTATGCTACAGAGCATCGTGTTTCCTTGAACAAGGTCACATTGACACTATATGCTCTTAGATGAACAGTCACCAAAAGTTAGTAAACGTTGCTGAAACCTAAAAGTTGCGATTGATCTACTCAAACATGATAATGTGTACAGAACTTAATGAATGCTTTTTGTGTGTGTTAAATGCTCTGAGCTTTCATGGTTTTATTACTTAATTTTTTAACTTGTTAGTAAAAAAATCTTTCAAGAATATAGTGTGGTTATGGTCACTCAGAATGATGTGTAAAATACTGTTTCTCAATGATTGAGAATGGGGTGGTTTAATTATGATTTTTCTGGGGGGTTTATATATGTAAAATTTTGTTTAAAATACAAAATCGTTTAAGGAAGGAGGATCATGCTCCACTGATCTTCCTGGGTTGACATGGGTAAAGTCACACCTAAATTATATTTTAGGAGGGTTCTTTGTGTAGATTTTTTTTTCCCAGTCGACTGGTTCAGTTTCTGCAAACCAAGCCCATGTTATATATCACCTTGCTATTGAATTTATCCTTTTAATTCAGTTCAGAAGTGAGACACGACAATTGTTTTGTGTGATGGTGATGAAAGGTGAAGGCTTGATACTCGATTTACTGCAACAGCAGTAACAAGGAACATTTCCATTTTTGTTTTAAAAAACAACAT